AAAAAAAAAGCTTTCAAACATTAGGGCACTGGGTGTATCCAGGGCTGGGTTTCTTCATTCTCTCAGGCTGCTAGTTTTAATTGTTACTGTCTGGAAAGAAGAGATACCCCTTTTTCCTCCAACATTTTGCTACTTTCCTCTTCCTCTCTTAAACAAAACAGAAGTCAAAGTCCAACTAGTAGATTTTAATTTAACATGAAGGGATTCTACAGGGCTAAAGTCTTTCACCTCAAAGTCAAGTGACTTGGAGTTGCACATTGTTAGCTAAATTAGTAGGCTGCTTGGAATACAAATGAAAGTGCAGATTACAGTTGATTGATTGTGCCTGAAAGCACTAAATTTAAGAGTCTTTTGTATACAAAGGCTTATATCTTGGTTTGTTTGTTTACTAGATCTCAACAGATAAATGTGTAAAGTAATATCATTGGCCCATTTGTAGGGACTAAAAAACGAAAATAAAGTTTTAGAATACACATATATAAGGTAAAGCACAAAACTCCTTTATACTCAGTGATGTAGCAAGGGCATGTTAAGGGCAAATAAATATATTTAAATTAATTCAAGCAAATTATTACTGAGTGGGGCAAGTAATGTCAAGGGCAACAAAATTTCAAAAAATTGAGCAGATGAATATTCATCATGACTATGGGGTGTGATGGTGGTGGTGGTGTTCAGGTAGGAGCTGGGAATTTTACTTCTGTCCACCTGCAGGGGTATTTGAATGCATTAGGCAAATCCCAGATTCTTTCAAGGTAGGGTAAATGCAAATAGGTTGAATTGCACCAGGTCTATGAATAATTTTCGTCATAAATAATTTTGCCTTAGATGTATAGATATACCCATTGTCTAAATAAATTCATCTCCTTCTGTCACCCTGAAACAAAAGTCCATTTACCCAATGCCATTGTTCATAAAGTATAAAGCCAGAGGGGATGAGGGATCCATTTTAATGGTAATTCCTATGGATATTGCTTAAATAGAAAACTTTCATGTCACAAATTTACAATTCTAGAATAAACCTCGTGCAGATCTCTTGTCACATGTAACTTTGAAGTCTTGTCAGCACAGCTACCTAATTTATATGAAGCACCCTGGAGTCAGTGTCTCTTTGTAGTGTTATTTGTCAAATGACTCAAGCACTGCTTTAAAGTGAATGTGAGCCTGCTAATCAATCCCTGTGCCCTTACAGAGCATGCTATGCCATGCACAATTTTCTCCTCTATGCATGTGAAATTTTAAATTATATTTGCCTTTGATATCTTTATTTTCCTTTATATTAGAAGTATTGCAGGCAGAAATAAAGCCACTATATGATTAATTTCTGGTATTCTGATAAAAGCAAGTCAGGATTCAGGGGGCATTTGAGTGTGCATGTGGATAGTTGTGTCTGTGTTTCTGAGGGCATACAGGTTCTTTGAAATCAGAAATGGGATTGGATTTTGGAAGGACTACTAATACATTCTCATTTAGCATTTATTTAGTAAGTACATGGAACTCTTGTATCATCAGGTTAAATGTCAGGGCTCTTTGTGGAAATGTTCTCACAGTCCTTGGTCTTGTCTTGTCCTTTCTTTCTTTCTTTCTTTCTTTCTTTCTTTCTTTCTTTCTTTCTTTCTTTCTTTCTTTCTTTCCTTCCTTCCTTCTTTCTTTCTTTCCTTCTTTCTTTCTCTCTTTCTTTCTCTCTTTCTTCCTTCCTTCCTTCCTTTCTTTCTTTCTTCCTCTCTTTCTTTCTTTCTTCCTCCCTTTCTTCCTCCCTTTCTTTCTTTCTTTCTTTCTTTCTTTCTTTCTTTCTTTCTTTCTTTCTTTCTTTCTTTCTTTCTTTCTTTCTTTCCCTCATCCTCCTCCAACTCCTCCTCCTTCTTTTGTGCCAGAGGGTTCTTAAAACACTGAGCATCCTAACCTTTTTTATTTTTTATTTGGAGACAAGTTCTCACCAAGTTGCTTAGTGCCTCACCAAGTTGCTGAGGTTGGCTTTGAACCTACCATCCTCTTGTCTCAGCCTCCCAAACTGCTGGGATTATAGGCATGCACCACTGCACCCAGCAATCCTTGGTGTTTCAATGTGTTATGCTTCAACCCCTTTCAAAACACCCTCCTTGACTCCTGCAAATATGACTCCAAATTATATTATTTTATTATTAGGATCTTCTAAAATAAGCTGTTACAGATCTCTATTGTAAAACTGATTAAGGTGTCTGAGAAAATTTAAAACAGATGAAAAGGATTATGAAGGATTATAAAAAAGGATAGCCTAGTGTGTATGTTTGAGACAGAGAAATAAATGGAAAACTGAAGCCAGAGTGAGCTACTTATTCATCCATGTGTCCAGGTTTACATACATATATCACATTTCACACTCACGCACATATTCATACACACAAAGCAGGATCAGAGTGGGGAGAGAGCAAGAGTTAGAAGAATAGATGACTGTCCTGTGGCAGAAAAACCTAAGCATGTTCTTCCTGGATTTTGTGCAATTGATAGTACATTGCAGCCAGGCTATCAAGAAAAAGAGGAAAGCAAGTGAATATCTAGCTCCCTCAAAGAAAAAAAAAATTAAAGAGCCCATGAAATGATTTAATGTGTAATTTTGTCAAGACAGCATTTTACTTGGAACCACTATGAGACAAGTCAAAGTAATACAAAAATCAGAGGATTTTAAAATTCCATGATATCATAAAAGCTATCAAGAATTCTAGAACTTTTCCTCACTTATGAATGCAAAATGCCTAATTGGAATGTCTGAATATGGATGAAAGGAGTTTTAGATAAGTGTATAAAATCCTCAAATCTGTGTCAGGATTGCGTAGGCACTACCAAGATTCAAACATTGGTAAATGTTGAAATCATATTTGCCCAACTCCCTGTGGGTGTGTCTCTTCTGGGGCTCCCCACCTACTCACCAACCAGCAAGGAGTGTTAGTTTTGACAGTTCTAAGGCTGGTGTCCCTTCTGAGTTGTCTGTACCCCATGCGGACCAAAATCCTCATATATCTTTGGGTCCCTGTCTCCCAACTCAGGACTCAAGAGGGGTAATGTGTGTCCTAAGTAGGTGCCTCTTTTCCTCACCTGCTAGGGTCCTAAAATATACAGGATGATAATACCAGTGGGCAGTCATAGTGACCACCCCAACACCCACCCGGCAGTGCAGGGTCCAGTCCCTCAGCAGGATATGCTCACAAGAGAAGAAGTTCAAGTGGGACACTAGTGGTGAGAGTATGTGGGGTATATGACCCAGTTCAGGGGATGCTCAGTGAGGATCTCCCATCAACAATCCTTGTTACATTTCATCACTATCTAAAAATACATCTTAATAGCCACACAGCCACATGTTTGGAAAGTTAATCAAATTAATATTATCTTTGTTAACAACAACAACAACAACAACAAAAAGCTAACACAACCACTGTGATTTACTAAGAATGGTCAAAAGACACACAGGCACGTGCAGGTCCATGCTCATGGGCAATTTGAACACCACAGTTATCACAAGTTCAATCATTTAGGTGAAGTAAAATCAGAGGCCTGAGGAGTTCATTTAAAAAATGGAGTAGAGAAGGCAGGATTTAATCCAGAGAGCATGAGAGCAGAGATGTGTTCTTCATTTATCATGCTAACTATTCCCACATGGTCCCTGGGCTCAGCTCAACCTAAAAAGTAAGGTAGATACACCATGTAATATGATTTAGATTGGGAAACACTAAGCCAAATTGTTTTTTCTTTTTCCTTTTTTTTTTAATTTTTATTATTGGTTGTTCAAAACATTACATAGTTCTTAACATATCATATTTCACACTTTGATTCAAGTGGGTTATGAACTCCCATTTTTACCCATATACAGATTGCAGAATCACATCAGTTACACATCCACTGATTTACATATTGCCATACTAGTGTCTGTTGTATTCTGCTGCCTTTCCTATCCTCTACTATCCCCCCTCCCCTCCCCTCCCCTCCCCTCTTCTCTCTCTACCCCATCTACTGTAATTCATTTCTCCCCCTTGTTTTTTTTTTCCTTTTTTCCCTTTCCCCTCACTTCCTCTTGTATGTAAGGTTGTATAACCATGAGGGTCTCCTTCCATTTCCATGCAATTTCCCTTCTCTCTCCCTTTCCCTCCCACCTCTCATCCCTGTTTAATGTTAATCTTCTTCTCATGCTCTTCCTCCCTGCTCTGTTCTTAGTTACTCTCCTTATATCAAAGAAGACATTTGGCATTTGTTTTTTAGGGATTGTCTGGCTTCACTTAGCATAATCTGCTCTAATGCCATCCATTTCCCTGCAAGTTCCATGATTATATTTAGATCTCTTTGGGCACTTTTAAAAGATTAAAAATATTGCATCAAAATACTGTTTGTGTCATGGTTGCCCATCAAGTACTTTCAAAGAGATTTTGTTCAAAATTGTCTTGATCAAATTCTTCTCCACTTCAAGTCTCACTTCTCTGTTTTTGTTTGGGTAAATTTCAGCTGGTTGCTGACTATTGTGACCCTAATACTATAATAATGACTTAAATACCTCTAAACAATGTATGTATAGTACTATTTCTTCATTTACATAACATTGAGGCTAATTATGAACCCTAGAGAACAAAAATTTATTCATATTATAACCTTTATTTCCTATAAAATTAAAAGGCTGATATTTCCCTTTTTCATATATTTCAGTTTAAATAATAATATCTCTAAGTGTGATTTTTCCACCTTTGATCACCTTCTGCTCAGCATCTACACCTCATCTTTTCTTGTACCACCCACATCCATTTTCCTCCCTCTACCTGACAGTTACAGCTTTACTTCTTTATGTGTGCTTAAGGCTGTTAACAGTAACCTCTTATTCTCCAAACACATGTCTTCCACCTACAGAAAATCAAATGCTGTGAAATCAAGATGTTTGGTGATCATTTTAGGCATGGGAATCATACATGTTACACAGTAGCTCTTGGGCATTTGCATAGTCTTTGAATAAGTTACATTTGTTCCAAGACCTCCATCTACAGTACCTGTAACTTTCAGCTTTTCAGCCCCAATGGTAATCTCATCTTCATCTGCAGAAAACAGCACCCTGCCATCTTCACTGGCTCTCACTTCAAATCTTTTACACTGAGCTTCCACAGCATCAGCTCCTATAGTCAGAGGAAAGGTTTAAAAATGAAACTGGCATACAGGAAACCATTAACATGTAATTTTGTAGAAAAAGAAAGAGATACACATAGCATTTTGTTTGTTCCTTTGGGATGTATGTTTACATCTGAATTAGTACTTTTAGATTGTTATCCTTTACAAGAGTCTATCTAATTGGGAGAATACTGTTGGGCTAGGTTGATTGGTTATACAGAGGACCTCCTATTGTTTGACATTATCTTAATAAGGTCTGTGAGTTTAGCCACTTAAAGACACCCTATATCCGCAAGAAGAGACAACGTCTGCTTCCTTTTGTCTTGCAGGCTGAAGACTTGCTTTACCCCTGATACCTCCGGGATGCTCCATGAACACTTGGAAACCAAATGACTCTCCTGTTTTCCCTCTACAATGCAGACAGCAATACCCATATTGTTACATAATAGGATGCTTCTCAGGCATCATTCAATTGTGAATCTTGAGTCATTTTTCATTTTATAGATTTTACTGTTTATTTTTCACATCCTTTAATAGTATTGAATTTGAATCCATTTTATAGTCAATCTTGCAGTCACTTTACTTTCCCTGGTGTATCTTCTAATCAATCATTTTCTTCACTTATTGAAATATAGTATAGGATTAAGCATGTGTAATTACAAAATGAAATTATAATTCTATTTCCAAATTATTGGTTAATTTTCCTAATCAGTCTACTCACAAAACACAAAGCCAAGCTCTCATAATTGGGAAATGTGATAATTTAAGAATTAGGAGGGATGGAGCAAGAAGATCTAACTAGGCCTTAAAGATGAACACTGACTGAGGAAGAAGGAATTAGAAATACTGGACATGGCTCAGTAATTGACATTTCCACAACATCAATTTCTTTGTTTTGGCATAACACATATGGCATATGGATCTTTATCTTTAGATAAGTGTATAAAATCCTCAAATCTGTCTCAGGATCTGAATTAGTACTTTTATCTTCTCTCCTGCTAAGATTTTTAGCATCCCTCCCTTGTCTGTATCAGAGGACTTCTCTGACATAACCCAGCTCAGTCAGGGACAGTCACATCACACTGTGGGCATACTTCTTTTTACTCATCTTTATATACTATCCTGACTTACTACACACACATCTCTAAGAATGTGAAACATGAGTCATCTTTGTCTTTCAAAATATCCTAAATCTTAGAATTGTGTCTGACATCAAGTGGAGATAAGAAATAAATGTTAGGTAATCCCAGCAGCTCAGGAAGCTGAGATAGGAGGATCACAAGTTCAAAGCCAGCCTCAGCAACAGTGAGGTGCTGAGCAACTCAGTGAGACCCTTTCTCTACATTAAAAAATATAAAAATGGACTTGAGATGTGCCTTGGTGGTCAAGTGCTCCTGAGTTCAATCCGCAGTATCAAAAAGGAAATTAATGTTAGAAGGTGAATAAAGACTAGATTCAAACTTTCCCTTTCTTCAGTCCCCAGCCCAGCTGAGTACTACACCTATTGTAGCCCATGGCAGTAGGAAATTATACCTCCCTACTTCCATAAACAAGAGGAAACTTAATTTGGAATCCTGATAATGAGGAAGATAATTTCTCTGACAATAAATGTACATTTTTTCTTATATTCTAATATTATTGGAAAATTTTAAAAAGATTCAAATGGGGCTATGTTAAGTAAGATAGAACTAGTGTCCTCTTGGGATGTCAAGTTCTAAAGAATATGAATTATAATGTTAAAATCTTTTTTTTTATTTTTAAATAAAGACTTTCCTTGTAAATTTTAATAATAATGTTGAGAAAATCATCATAGGCCTTTTGTCATTTGTCATTGTCATTGCATTTGATTTTAGTGTGTGTGTGTGTGTGTGTGTGTGTGTGTGCACGCGCGCGCGTGCATGCAGGCATGTGTGCTGAGAATTGAAGTCAGGGCCTCACATATGCTAGGCAAGCACTCTACAACTGAACTACCTCCCCAGCCTGTAAGTTTGTGAATATTATCTCAAGAGTTTGTACATACATACATATATTATACACACACACATACATACACAAACACACACATATACAATTATATTTTTTACACTAATGAGGATTGAACCCAGGAATGCTATACTACTGAATTGCAACACCAGTCCTTTTTTTTTTTTTTTGTGACAGGGTCTTGCTAAGCTGCTGAGGATGGCTTAGAGCTTGAGATCCTTCTGCCTCAGCCTCCTGAGTGACTGAGATTACAGGTGTGCACCAATGCACCCAGCAAATTGTATTCATGTAAGTGTTTTCTTCTAATCCTAGCCTAACTTTCCTATATGGGACTTTAGTCTTTGAACCATAGTAACTCAACTGACAGATGTTCAAAAGCTATGCTTGACAACAATGGATTGATGGATGTGAATTTTTGCAGCCTTTGAAGTCTCTATTTAAATCTATCTTCAAGTGACTTAGACATACACAAAACCTCAAATTTCTGAAAGATAGATACTTTACAAATAAAAATTTAACATTGACACTACATTGCTTCCTTCAAATACACTCAACTGCTGAGCTTAATTGATTCACAAAATATAGTTAACTTTAATGGCATGGAAGTGTATTAGACCACTTAACATACTTGTACACATGTATATTATATGTGTGACACATACACACACAGAGAGACAAACATTATATATGTATATACTTATTAGCAGGACTTTTCTTGATGTAATACTTAATGTCTTTAAATAGAAGATAATTTATTAACATAAAATGCTAGATTATGTGTCACATAAACTATTTAAAATAAACTATTAGAAATATAAGTAGAGTAGTATCTGGATATGGCAAAACGAGTTGAGATTTTCATTCATTAAATTTAAATGAGCAAAGGCAAATAAGCAAACTGGAAAATATTTATGCACCCAGAATAGATGAGATGCATCTAAGCCATCAATTAATGCATACGGAATCATCCAATTGAGAAATGGATATACAAATTAATACTTTGGACTTCACTTTATTCATTATATTAGCATAATTACAGAAGGCAAAATTGTAAGCAATTATCAATGCATTGATAATAAATAAGTATTTTAAATCGGAACATCATTGTGTAATATTGCATTTACAGACAGTGCTTTTCCTTTCTGCAAATGGAAAACACTAAAATATGTACAGGGGGATAGTTAATTGTTGGGAATATTTATGCTCAAAATTAATATATTAGAATTTAAGAAATTGAATTTATTATATTCTAACATGCTGTCTATTTTTACATTCCTAGTGTCGCATATTCTCCAGGCTGTCATTGCAAGATGTTCTCAGGAGCAGTAATGCACAGTACTATCTAAATCAATGATGTTTCTGGTGTAGCAGAAAAAGCAATGTTCTTGGATGACTCTGGGTAAGGAGCTAGGATTCCTTAGCCTGTGGATCATGGGAGATGGGATTATCAAGGCAGTACTGTATTTTCTCAGTCATCTTAAGAATTTAAGTTGCTAACTAAAGTACCAAGATTAAACGCTTTCTTAGAAAAATCTCCAAGGAACTTTATATCAACCACTTCAAAATCATATGAAGGGAAGTCAGTATTAGAATTTGGAAGGAGAATTGGCTGGCAGTTGAGAGAAAAAAAAATGCAAGCAAAATAGTATGCCTAAAAGTATTGAAATATTAGATGCATATCCAAATACCTTTAGTACTTTTAACGTTCTGTACACTTTTTAAAAAAAAAGCAAGAAAAACAAGAACAACCACAAAGCTCAATTCTTGTTTTCTTGGAGATGTCTTCTTTGTCTTTTTAGAATATAACTTTGGTTGACAAGGAGAAAGTCTCCAACAACTAAATACTGTCTCTGCATTTTTTTACATTAAGTTAGTCAAATACTTGAGCTGGAATTTTTTCTTCAATGAATATACCCAAAGAGCTAGAGCAATATATTTTCTCTAGGTATTTAGTTACTGGTTCAAAGAAAGCAAAGCAAAGATCACAACAAATTTGCTTGCTTGTCTTTGGTGTGTCTTCCTCAAGTATCTTAGGATGGGTTATTTCTTCCATTATCACTCTGCACTCTAATTTTATATGCATGTCAATATATCCAAGGTCTTAAGAGTATTAAGAGATTAGAAATCTTAGAAAAACAAGAGTAAAATTCAAAATTCTCTGTTCAGAAATTCCTGATTTAGAATTACCAAGATGGACTCAAAATAAAATAAATAAATAAATAAACAAACAAAATAAACATTTGTCATGAATTTAAATGTAAATATACATTTTACTTATTTAATTTTTTGGTACTAGGGATTGAATTTAAGGGTGCTCAAGCACTGAGCAACATCCCTAGTTTTTTAATTTTTTTTTTAAATTTAATTTTTTTAATTTTGTGACAGGGTCTCACTAGGTTGCTTACAGCTTAACTAAGATTCTGAGGCTGGCTTTGAACCTTTAGTTCTCTTGCCTCAGTCTTCTGAGTCACTGGGATTACAGAAGTGAGCCACCAAGCTTGGTTTCTTGGCTTTTATTTTGTTTTATACTGTGTGTGCTATTGAAATTGCACACTGGAAGGTAGTCTTTGCATGCCCTGGGGGCAGGGTCAGAGTAAGGGGAAGCAACACTCAGCCAGGCTGGTGGGCTGCTTTACCACCTGACACTGGAATCCTGGGCACTTGCAATCCTCAGAGGATCCTCCAGGCATAAGCCAGCCCCCTCCTCCCTGCAGGGACTGTCTTCCCTTTTGGAATGGAGAAGTCATTCCTCCTCCAACAACTAAGGCAGCTGTATGTTCTCTCAAGTTCTACATATTTTACATTGATCCTCCTACCTCTCTCCCTGCAGTTCCCCACCAACCACAGTGTCTACTAGAATTGACCTTGTACACAGAGATTCCTCAATAAAATCTGTTGTAAACTGAAGGATCCCACTGTTCTTCACCATTTGTACATATGGATGTTATCTCTCCCTCACCCATATCACTTCTCCTGCTCTCCATCTTCTTTTAAAAAATATTTAAAAATACATAGAAAATTATGT